AAATAAAAAATAGGTTAATCGATGGAGAGCTTTGAATTTTTAATTTTCCCCTTTTCTTTTCTTCTAAGTAAACTCATCTAATTAGTTCAACTTTGATTGGATAGTAAGTTTTACTAGGTGTACGCCAGTACCACTCAGATCTTTGAAATATAAAGCCCTATCAAGAATAAAACCGGCGCTCCGAAATAAATGCAACAATCCACTAAACCATTTTAATTCTTTCCAAATAATTTATGAGTTTGAAAACAAGTTTATTTGAACAAGGATATAATTTTCATTATCGTCAGTTTATCTTATCTTATCTCGTGTTATTTTCATCGTCTAACCCCTCAGCCTGGATCGACTAAGGATAAGCATTTACAAGGCAAACGATCCGATGTCTTGAGAGTAGAAGAATAATTCCTTTATTACCTAATCCTATCTTATTTTGACATTGTAATTTTTCTCCACTGTAATGTCATCGTTCGCAAAAAATTTATCTTTATCACTTAATCCATACATAATGGCACTCATTCATGATCAAGGCAAGAACTTCCCTTGTCGTTAATTGGGTGGAACACGATTAATAAAACGAATCAGGCTTTTTCATGAATGACATACGCAAGTGATGCAACCAGTATCTCTGTTTTGAACCAGGTATAATATCTACACAAGAACTGGGATGAGGAATTTGTACTTTCAACAAGCGATTACTATTTGGACAATAAAAAATCGCTTTGGGCCTAATGTCCACTAAGAGTCCACTGGGTTCCAATATTATATGCTAATTTTAATTCAACAGCCGACGAACAATTTCTCTTTCTCTTTCTGTTTCTCCTGACAGATTATAATTGCTTTGGCTTGAGAATTCATTTTCGTTTCCCAAGCATGTATTGCGTATTAACCACATAAACCAGGTGGGACTGTCGTGATTGTCAGCAGACATGAAAGCCATGCTAATTTTACCAAACCTTTGGATAGAAGTACCAGTGGATCCACAGCATTTAGCTCAATCTTGTCATTTCATGATATTTTTCTTCTTGTCAAAAAAAGGTAAAGACAAAAAAATTGGAGAAAATAAAAGGAAATAAAGAAATATAAAGAAAATTCGATATTAATACATCATCACCATCCTGTTTCACTGGTCGTTCTATAACTGAACAAATCTTTATGGAAATAATTTCATCATTTGAATTCTTATATGCATAGGAAAAACCCGAGCTGAGTCCTTCTCTCACAATGTCTAAAATGTTAAAACATACTCGTTATCATCAATTTGATGGTACACAAATCTATACCTTTAATACTAAGATATTTATCCAGCCAAATTTCTGTAGTTTAAGCCACAAATTTTATGGGTTTCATAATTTTCAAGGGAGGTTGAACAAAATCACGAATGATTTAAGGCAAAACATCTAATATTTAAATTTTTTTGAAACCTGAAGTCATATTCCAAGCATCTTCTTCAGTGAAATCAACAGCTACACAAAGTGGTTCCTCGGTAATGAAATTTTCCATAAGATATTTCATCACGCAATTAAAATCCGACGGTTTCAAACAAGTTATTGTCAACAATTCGTCATTCATTGACATTCTAAAATGTGCAATTAAAATAAGTAATGTTACGAGTAAATAAATAGTGATAATAGTAGTATTAAGCATTTATGTAGGTGAAAGAAAGACAATTCGTATATGTTTGTATATTTTGGAAAAATAATTGCATTTTTTAAATAGATGAAGTTCCATCTAGTTTAGGCAAAATTCATTTTTCCTTTGTGAAAAACCTTATTCATAGAAAAAAATAAAATAAAAATTAGAGAAAAGCAATTATACTAAAGATGTACTAAATCAATATTAAGATTTTTCTATATAAAATTTATTTTAAATAAAATAGCTTCATATAAAATAAATTTAAATAATACAGTAAATAAAGTAACTTTGAAGATTTTCCAAAAATACATTAAGAACAAAATATTGCACGAAATATTTTGAGGGATGGCAAAATCGACAAAAGAGCGAAAAGGCGGTAAAAATCGACAAAAGAGCGAAAAACAGCGAAACTTAAAATACCATTTAATAATTATTAAATAATTGTCCTTATATTCGACCTATATTATTTATTCAAATGCACTTTGAGCGTTCTTTAAAAATTGCCACTTCTCTTATAATTTTATTTCATCCGAATAAGTAATTAAGATGTTGCAATCTGATTTATGCAGCCGAATTCCTTTTAACAATAAAAAAACCTAAAAACTTAAAACAAAACTCACGAAAATGCTAGTAGTATCCTAGCCTACTAACCTTCCTTAAAAATTTCTCGTATTATTTCACTGGATATATCACTGGATAATATAGATATATCTATATTTATTTGTATTTTAATTCAAATGGCCAGTTTTAATTTTATCAAAAAACTTATTATTTATTTATTTTTTCATTTATTTATTTATTGTTGTGTTGCTTGATCAAATTCAGAACGAATAGTAAATAATAGTAATAGTAGTAAAAGTTTAAAAATTGCAATAAACAAGTAATTTAAATGAAATAAATTTAAATATAAGAAAACATAAGGGTGATAAAAAGAAATTGCGGTGACAAATTGTTGTTTATAATCGTATAAGCAATCATAAAAAGGGAACCAAATGTCACCAACGCGCAATTTTATCTGAAAGTAACTGCTCTTGGCAGTGTGACGAATTCTCATCGTAATCAGCAAACAGCCAGCGAAGCGATTCTAATCAAAAATTATACGTATATAATTGAAAGTACAACTACTTAATTGAAATATAAAATAGCGAAAATCGTAAATTTTCGTAACTTTTGCAGATTGCAGTCTATCGAATAAATAAATTTAATGGAATGTTCAGTAGAAATTAGAAAAGGTGATAACGATTTTATCATAAAATATAGCAAATTCCTAAATACTGAAAATAAAATAAAATATTATTACAATATTCATTACTAATACTAAAATTTTATTTGATTTAAAGGTTTATTTATTTATAATTTATTGATTTATATTTTATATTATTACATTATATTTTATTGATTTATATTTATTTATAATTTAAATAGAAATTAAAGAAGAATTTTTAAAATTTATAATAATTTAATACTCCTTTTCTTTTATTGACTTTAATAAGATCACTAATTTAATGGTTTGGTTTATGATATTTCTTTATTGTATATCATAAATTTTATATGATTATACAAATAATATTGGACAAATATTGGTAGACCCCAGCACAGTTATTAGATCCGAGGTCCGCATATAAAACGATATTAGTAGACCAGAGATCATATATATATATATATATAAGTAGACCAGGTCCGCATATATTAGTGAACCAGAGATTGGCAGACTCGAAATTCTATGAACCATGAAAGATTAATAAGGATGTAGAGAAAATATTGGTAGACCAAATTAGACAACTATAGATGTTATCATTCTTTTTTTTAAGGAGACTTCACCATTTTTGATTAAACTCGCTCCGCTGGCTTGTCGAATTAGATAAATGTACCAAGGAGACGATAGAAGTACAAATGAGTCGCAAGCATCACACGAATTTCTGGGCAGATTGCGCTTCGAATTGATCAACAACCCACTGTGCCATTCTATACACCCAAATGTTATCATTACAACTGATATTATTGAGGTTCATAGATCGCTAAATTTAAAATTGAATGAAAATAATTAATGGTTTACGGTTCAATTTTGCACTGAAACGAAATAGTTACACAAAAAAATAGAGTGGAAGTTTTAATAATATTCTCACTTGTTCATATACTTTGTGCTGGTGATGATGGGCCAGTTAAACTTAAATGCAACGCCACTGGATATAAAAATTTCATTCTCAAAAATTTTATTCTCAAACTTGGCTAATTAAACCAAACCAAATTGAGAATATAACAGAAGCAACGAGAGCGTTTAATACAACGAAGGCCAGAAACGGATTAAAGACGATAAGCTCAAGTACTATTAGATAATATTGTGGATGGAATGGCTCAGTGGGTTGTTGTTCTGGTGCGCCAGTGCTGTGGTTCCATTCCCTGCAGGATTAAACCTGCACAAAAATCCGGGTGATGCCGGCGAATCACCTATATTTCCATCGTAAAGGAAAGGCATATTGCTCAAACCAGTGGAACGAATTTGACCAGTAATGGTGAAGAGTCTTAAAAAACAAAAAAAAAAAATTATTAGATAGCAACAA